GGTATTCTGTATACCATAGAATGTACATATGTGTGTGTGTGTCTTGTGTAATACAAATATAAATATAATACAAAATATGATAAATAAGTAAATATAAAATAAAAATATAAACCACAGGTCCTAACTAAAACCGAAGCAAAATCCTAAACATACTTAGGGACATATAAATAGGTATCCTTACTATATTCATGACATTGAACAAGACATTTACTTAACCTTCCTAGGGACTGGTTTCCTCATCTATAAAATCAGAAAGTTTGACTCTTGTTCTTTAAGATTCCTTCCTCTAAACTTATATAGTATATAGATTTGTTTAAAAACACAGGCATTTAATAAAAATGGAAGGGAAGGAAAAAAAATCTTGATTCTATTTCATGAAAGACTCATTTACATTTAAGCCTACCAAATTTTGCTTGTAATACTAAAGACTTTTGCAATATATTCAACAAACTAGCACACACCCAATGGTAGTGTTATGTTAAAGCATAAAGTGGGGCCAAGCACATGTATCTAATAATGCCCAACATATGTTCAAGAAGCAAGAAGTTCTTTGTTTAATCAACTGATACAGTTGAACAATCAGTTGTTTGGGTAAAATTAACAATATCTGAAATAGTTGTTACTGTACACTGGATTAGGAGCATGGAGACCTGGGATCAGTGTTGATTCTTTCATTCTATGGCTATGAGCAAGTAACTTAGGCTTTCTTCATCTGTAATATGAGGGAGGTTGACTAGATGAAGTCCAACATTCTAGGTGAACCTTTCCCCCATATCAGTTTTAGATTCTAGATGAATCTTTTAATTAATGTTCAGAGCAGTGGGCTGAGTTCAACAAGTCTAGCCCTCACAGATGCTCATGCATTTCATTAAATATTGTGCATCTACTATACACATTTATATTAGTCTCTTCCCAATCTCGTTGCTGTCATCAATTGAATTCCATCCAGATCACTCTGTATACTTTCTTTGTAATTGCCTTAAGTATCTGATTCATTGTCTCCATCCCACAAGGCTCTTGCCATAATCTTCAGTATCTTCAATATTCACATTAATAGCTACCCCTCAACAACCTGCCCACATAACCTCTTAATTCACTTTCTACCACACAGTGGCATGACTCTACCTTATATGTCATCATCTCTCAGAATTACATAATTTTCACGATGCAGAAATTCCATTCTCTAAGCCCAGACACCTATCCTTTCACCCTATCTCAGCCCACTATTTACAGTAAGTCTTCTTTTCACCCTTATCAAAACCTACTTCTATTCTCTCAGTTTATATTCCCCACTCTGACTTCACTTACTTTCATACCCAGGCTTGAACCCATTATCCAACATTTTAATGTTTCTCCAGCTACTAACCTAGAATGTCTTGCATCCCCTGACACTCTACCATCCACACCCAAAAAATCTTTACCCTTGGATAATGACCTATACCATCCATATTCTTCACTCTTATTTCAAGGCTATTTATTATAGCTATAGAAAATAATGAAATACAGACTGATTTCACTCACTATACCTTGATGGTAGAGAATCTCAGTTAGGTCCTTGATATTCCTTTATAATACTTTTAAACTGCCTATCACATTTCCCCATAGTGACTGTTCCAAACATTTTCTTTCTTCCTCTCTCCCCCAACCATCTCCTTTTATAGTGAATCAGTCTACTCCAATATTATAAAGCTGTAAGCCACGACCTCCCTAAATTTCCCTGTTCTATTACCAAAACCTTACCCATAGCTCTCTTTCCCTTTGGTGAAAAAAAAATGCATCCCTATTTTTCACTAGAACTTTTAAAATCTACCTTTACTTTTCTGTTACCTCCTAATCTGGTTTTATCACATAAACACTTTCTCAAGTATATTCGGTCTCTCCCTCTCCCTTGGTATCTTCTCATTCACCTGTAAATACACATAAGTCTTCCTAACATACCCCCCCCCACAAAAGAGCCTTTCTTTGAAAAATGTTCTATGTGAATGAAAAACATTGTTCAAATTGCCTACAATGCCTGTTCTGAAATAAGACACAATGCCTAAACTCAAGGAGCTTTGCACAAGCTATTCTGTATGTCTGGAATGCCTTCCTGCACCCCCTTACCTGTTTAATCATAATCATCATTTGTAGCCCAACTCAAATATCACCTAGGTATATTTAACTAGGACTCGAGTTCAAGCCCAGCCTTAGGTAACTATATGTCCCTGGGCAAATCACTTCATCTCCGTTTGCCTTGATTTCCTCTTCTGAAAAATAGGGATAATAATATCACCTATCTCATGTGGTTGTTGTGAGGATCAAATGAGATAATATTTGTCAAGTGCCTAGCACAGTACCTGGTATATAAGAAGTGCTATATTGTTGTTTTTGAATCATTTCAGCCATGTTCAATTTTTCGTGACCCCTTATTTGAGGTTTTTTTTTGGAAAAGGTACTGGAAAGGTTTGCCATTTTACTCTCCAGCTCATTTTTACAGATGAGGAAACTGAGGCAAGCAGGGTTAAGTGACTTTCCTAGGATCATATAGCCAAGTAAGTAAATGTTTGGGATTGGACTGGAACTCAAGTCTTCCTGACTCCGGGCCTGGCACTATCTGCACTGCACTAAGTGCTAACTTATATAAATGCTAAGTATTATTATTAACCTTGCTTCATGATCTTTCCTTGATCCTCCCCCACCTCACCTTGCCCCCAATTTATAACTTCTTTCTCCAGTGTTTTCTTTTGAAACTTTCCAATATGCTTTCCATACAATAGTTTATATCAAAGTTACCTCACTGTATTTTATTTCCTTTTCACACTGAAATATCTATGAGGGCAGGTATTGTTTTTTATTAAGGTTCTGAATCTCTTCCAACAATTTGCCCGTTGCTTTTCACTCAGGAGTAGTAATAGTAATAATAGCAGGAGTATGAGTAGTAGTAACAATAATAATAATAATAAGCAAGATTTATATAGGAACCTAAGGTTTGCAAAGAAGAGTAGTAATAATGGTAACAGTAATAGTAACAGTAGTAGTAGTAGTAGTAGTAGTAGTAGTAGTAGTAGTAGTAGTAG